GTGCCCACCCCCAACCGACCACCCCCCAAACTCTGGCAGCCACCCCAGCCAGCGGGCCAACCACAGCAATCAGGAGCCAGACTCCAGGAGTCCAAATAGCCCCAGGGAAGCCGGAGCGCCAGCCCCGCCTCTGGAGCCCCTCCAAGCCCCATGTCTGCCCGCAAATGCTTATTTCAGAACAGCAACTGAGACCACCTACAACCGCGCGCGGGTGTGGGGGTGCATACGGTGCGCAGCGCCGTGGCTTCTGAATAATAGAAAATGATTTAACACAGTTGTTTATACTTTTAGCGGTTCTTTTTATTCCACAGCTGAGCTGCTAAAAATGACAGATTTTCTTTTCTGGATCTCTGGCAGACCGACTTCAATCTCTGAACTCGTAAAGTTCTTCTTTTTAGTTTTTGCTGTCATTTTCATGAATGTACACTTCCTGATACCTGAGGCAGGAAACATAGCCTTATATGGTGTTTTTGGAGTGGTAATTATGCTAATCTCCTCTCGCGTGCACGAGCAGCTGGATACGAACAGGTGGGATTTACGCAGCTCATTTACACACTTTTCCTGAAGATAGAAGAGTTTGTTGAATCTGACGTGACATGTTCGTACGAACCCTTCGTACGAACAAAAGAGAAATTTAGGATAAGAATACGAACATGTTCTTGCATGAGGCCCAATGTGAGTGGGCACAGGCACCAGTGGCGAGACTAGGACTGTTTTTTTCAAGAAGTACATACCCAAAGTGGAGTAAAAAAAACCTTTAAAAAGTGAATTTTGCATAATATGTCCCCTTTAATATATATTTTCATTTATCAATATTTTTTGAATGTGTATTTTCCATGTTACTCTTTCATCAAACCATAAACCAAGAAACAAACTGTTTCACTCTTTCAAGTTTTTGTCCRTATAATTTAATTTCAATATCATTATTTATCCTTTTCCTTGAAAAAAATTACTTTAGTTTTATCAACAGAGAATTTAAACCCCCATTTATTTGACCACTTTTCAACCGATATAATTGCTTTCTGTAACTGTTTAACAATAAACTTTGCTTTCCCTCTTTTCCACAAGGCCCCATCATCAGCAAACAATGACCACCCCATTCCATTTTCTATATCATCAAACATGTCATTAATCATTATAGAAAATAATAAAGGACTCACTATGCACCCCTGTGGTGTCCCGTTCTCTATGAAATATTTATTAGAATAATTTTCACCTATTCTCACCTGTATTTGTCTTTCTGAAAGAAAATTTTTTATCCATTCATACATTCTGCCATTAAAACCCAATCTTTTCAGGTTTATTAAAAAACCATCTTTCCACATCATATCATACGCTTTTTTCTATGTCAAGAAATACAGCTACAACACTCTCTCTGTTAATCTGAGCTTTTCTAATTTCATGCTCAAGACATAAAATCGGACCCATTGTGTTTCTTACTTTTCTGAAACCACTCTGGTAATTTGATAAATATCCTTTTTTTTCTATATAGTAAGTTAATCTTTCATTATTTTGCAAATGTTTGAAATTAAAGCTTTTGTCTTTAATTACTTGGTTTTGTATCATCCTTTCCTGGCCTTTGTATAGGTATTACTATTGCTTCCTTCCANTATTACTAAAAGTGATTTCTAACATCAGCTATTATAGGTGACTATAGCGGCAAGATAACTTTTCRTAAGAAAAACAGCTGCCCTGTGGAATTATTTCTGGTTCTTTATGGTGAAATAAGGTCCCCAAAACAGATCTTGCTTAGGGCTCCCAAATGTCTAGGGCCGGCCCTGATGCTACGGAGACTAATCTGTGCTTTAAATCACTTTCATATACTGATGGGACACACATCAGCAGCAGAGTGGGTTCAGTTTGACATATGACTGAATAGCAGTGATTCAAACTGCTAACTCTGATTAGAGGATGACTCCCTTAACCACTCAGCCACAGCCACCTCATATATTGAAAAAATATGAGTATTTATGGTCTTGTAAAATGAATCTCAAAACAAGTATCAATAGCAAAAAAGGCTATTTGACAAAGGCAGAGAAAATTTGGCTAATTTTTCCTGTACATTCTCAGCTCTTCCGCTCATCCCACAAATGCATGTTCTTAACAAATGTGGCCCATTTAAAAGGGAAATTAGCTGGCTTTCCAACGGTTTGATTGCCAACAACCATTGTTATAAAAATAAATCTACCAAACACTAATTTTCTTACATTCTGTGTTAACTTATATTTTTGGGCCTACATTTATGGCCTCAGAGGCCTCAGTGAGAATACAATACCATTTCCTCATATGCAGCATTACGAAATTATTTTTATAACCCCCCTCAGTGGAAATTGTCTTAGAATCCAAAGGGGAAGAAAACATTTAGGAACCACTGCTCTAAGATGTCAGTTGTCCACTCCTTAGTGACATTCTAAAATGTGCTTTCAACTTCACTTGGTAGTTATTAAAGAAGTCTACTGTAGTTCATAAATCCCCTATTTTGCCATACGGAAACAAACAAACAAACAATGATTGAATGAAGAAACAAATGTCTAGTCCATTCCCAAATTTCTTTTTGCAGACTGGTTTTGTAAAATAAAAATAAAAATAAAAAAATAAAGGAAGTATTTTGATGTCCACAGTTTCCTACTCCCTAYTGGATGAGTTTTTGATGAGTAGGAGGAGTAATGAATATCAAGACTGAGTAATTCTACAGCAGTCACCAGGCAGTCACATTGACGTGCTGAGGTAATCTGGCTGTGGTAGAAAACTGGGAGAGAACAAATTTATCTGAGAAAAATAAGTTATCTTGTGCAATCTAACCTCAACTGTATACAGTCTAATTTTGAATACCTCTGAAATCAATGGCAGAAGATTCTTTWTATGTTTTTTCTGACTTCCATCCTTGCTATGAAATAAATAATGTTTCTAAAACACTGACGAGGACTTCTTCCACAGCATGTGTTTTACTGTATATTTTCCTTGGTTTACTCTCTGTTGTCACAGTATGTGGAAACCTTCTTGTAATATTCTCTGTCATTTATTTCAAACAACTCCACACACCGTCTAACTACCTCATCAGCTCTCTAGCTGTGACAGACCTGCTTGTTGGAGTAGTAGTTTTTCCTCTGAGCATATCTTTTCCTCTCACTGCTTGTCTGTATTACAGAGATATATTTTGCAAAATACGTGACAGCTTTGATGTTATACTAAGCTCAACATCTATTTTGAATTTATGCTGTATTTCTGTAGACAGATACTATGCAGTGTGTAAGCCCCTTGTATATAGAATGAAGATAAACTTCCATGTTGTTGGAATTATGATCCTTATGAGTTGTGKTGTTCCTGTTCTAGTTGCTATTGGCTTTGTCATTTCAGAGTTAAACCAAGAAAAATGTTATGAAAACTGTTTTCGGGATGTTGTGCTTGAAAAATCTTTGACACCTGTTTTTGTATTTTACCTCCCTATAACCATAATGTTGTATATCTACTTGAGGATATTTCTTATTGCTCAGAAACAGGCACGAAGCATCCAGAGCACAACAAAGTCTGTGGTTACTGTCAGTAGCATGGAAAGGAAGACGACAAAAACTCTGGCTATTGTTCTGGGAGCTTTTCTAATGTGCTGGCTGCCTTTCTTTCTTTGTTTTTCTTTGCAGCTGTTAGGTGGTGTATCAATGCAAATTTATGAAACACTGAACTGGCTCRCTTTGTCCAATTCAATGTTTAATCCATTCATTTATGCTTTCTTTTATCAGTGGTTTAGGTCAGCTTTCAAAATGATCATTTCTGGGAAAATATTTCAAGGGAACTGTTCAAACTCCAAACTCCTTTGACAAATTTCAAATCTGAAAAGCTGAAACCATTTTAGCACCATAGAGGTGATGATACTGGCAGGTAATTGTTAGAATCTGTGTCTTGTGTTCTGTCTTCCTCTGGTGTTCTGTGTTCTCACTACCATCTTTTCCTCAGTCTGCGCTGTTGTCTCCTGATTCACTCTCACACGTCTGTACTCAGTAATTCTTCCTCTTCTTAGAGTTTATTGGCAGTTTGCAAAAAACTTTAGGTGTGCACTACTGCCACCAACTGGAATGGAGTGTGGAAAGAAATGACTCTTACTAACAACAAAATAAAACAAACAAAAAATAAATAACTCATATCCTATCAAATAATCAAGCCAATATCAGATAATTAATCAGAGTTTGAGAACTATCAGATACTGAGTTTCGTTGTAAAATTTCTAATGGATTTAATCTAATTTTCATTTCATCAAGCCTATTAATCAATTGAGCTCTTTCATGTCTGTACTTCTGACAGTTTAACAGAATATGTTCTATTGCTTCATTGTCTCCACAATCACATTTACCAGTATCATGTTTTCCTATTAAGGAGAGTGCTATTTAATCCTGTATGTCCAAATTTAAGATTTGATATAACTACTGTTTCTCTTCCCTTCTGTTTCTTTCAGCACTTCTCATCTCTCCTACTTTCCTGTGAATCTTATAAAACAATCTACCTTTTCTTTCTTCTTTCCATTGTTTTTGCCACTTTTCTCTAATTTTTATGATACTTTTTACTTCTGTTTGACTAACTTTGGCATCTATCTCAACTAAAACATGTCTAGTAGCCTCCTTTGCTACTTTGTCTGCCCTTTCATCTCCTCTAATACCAACATGAGCTGGAATCCATGCAAATATGACAATTAACCCCATCATTTTAATTCTAAATAATGTTTGTTGTATTTCTATCATAATGTCTGGTCTACTTTCTGAAAAATAGTTTTTGATACTAATTAATGATGAGCTGGAATGTGAATGCATTATTGATCTTAATGGCTGATTATCTTCAGTCCACTGAACAGCTAATAATATTGCTACCATTTCCCCTGTGTATACTGATATATTATCACTTATCCTCCTCCCTAATTCCACACCAAACTCGGGAATTATGTAAGCTACTCCAATTTGATCTTCTATATTCCTTGATGCATCTGTATATACTTTAACATATCCATAATATTTAGTAATATATTCTTTGCTTATAAAATAATTTAAAGCATTGTAAGAAAATACGTGTTTTAATATCGCCTGAAATCAGATGAAAACACAAGTGTTAAATAAAATGATCTGTGATAAGAAATAATGTCATACAACACCAGAATTCTGGAGTGGTGGCTTATTATGCCAATGGCTGGCAAGTCAAAACCACACACACTGGAAGAAAAACAGGAAATGGACCAGTATATATACAGAATCTTCAATGCCTGAGTTCGCCCCCTGCTGACATATGGCTGAATCATCGGCATTCAGACAAAAACCTTAATCTAATGGTTTAAAAACGGTTCACTTATGTGTTGTTATTGATTCGGACATATATCTACCTAATTTAATTAACACATAATATAACAAACATTATAAAAGTATCATAAAATAAGGAAACCCTAATACTCTGGTGTTGTTTATAATATCGGTACTGAGCTATAATAACTATAAATTTCTTCAGCATTTTTATTTTTCTTTTCTAATAATTCCATATCTACAACTGAATCTGCAAATAACCATGGACATACCACTGAYAATGGTACAGTTGGACTTATATTAATATTGTTTATCTGATTTTCTACATTTTTCTGGTTTATTTCCCAACCAAAACTTTTTATTTTTTTCTTTCATTTTTCCCAGCATGATTTTAACAGTTCTTGAGTTGGATGGTTTTGGTCATGCCCTCATAAACTGACCCAATAATTTAAAGATGACTGATCCCTTCTTATACTAAGTGGTAATTCTCCCATTTCTATTAGTAAAGATGATGTAGGTGTTGTTTTAAATGCTCCAGTGATAATTCTCATAGTCTGTTACTGAATATTATGCTCCAGTGATAATTCTCATCGTCTGTTACTGAATATTATTTAACTATTCTAAAGATGTTTCAGAAGCTGAATTATATGCTATACTCCCATTATATAACACTGATCTAATCAATCCTGTGTATTTAGTCTTCATTGATTTMCCGTCTGCTCCCCAGTCTTTTCCAGTTAAACATCTCATAATGTTTAAAGGAGACCAATTATGGGTCCTAGAATTTTTTATGGTATTATCTGTGGGCTATCCAGACCATGTTCATTCAATTTAATGCACAAAATAATTCTCAGATAATAAAATTTCCCATTTTCCAGTTCTGCCTGCTCTGACTTCCATTCAGAAGAGCTGTTTATGTTAATGAGCTCTGTTGGTAACGCCCTCCAAAAATCTGTTGACATTAACTCCAC